GGTGGGGCTCCCCGACCCCCCTGATCGACCCTGCTCTGTGCGTGACAGGGGGGAGCTCCCCAACCCCCTGATCGACCCTGCTCTGTGCGTGACAGGGTAAGGACCCCCAACCCCCCTGATGGGCCCTGCTCTGTGCATGACAGGGTAAGGAGCCCCAAACCCCCTGATGGGCCCTGCTCTGTGAGTGACAGGGGGTGGCATTGAAACCTCCCAATCCGCCCTGATCTGTGCATGACAGGGGGCGGCGCCCCAACTCCCCAATAGGCCCTGCTCTGAGCCCCACCAGGGTTTGCATCTAGGGATTGGGCCTGCCCTCTGCCACCCGGGAGCAGGCCTAAGCCAGCAGGTCGTTATCTCCCAAGGGGTCCCAGACTGGGAGAGGGCACAGGCCGGGCTGAGGGACCGCCCTCCCCCCCAGTGCACAAATTTTTGTGCACCGGGCCTCTAGTTAACTATATTCTCCAAGAAACCTTTATTACATGGAACAATAAAAGTACCAGATTTTTTCATTAATTTTATAAATGTATGGTTGATGAATGGATTAGAAAACAGTGGTACATCTACACGGTGGAATACTATGTGGCTGTAAAAAAGAAGGAACTCTTACCATTTGCAACCCCATGGATGGAACTGGAGAGCATTATGCTAAGTGAAATAAGCCAGTCAATGAGGGAAAAATACCACATGATCTCACTCATGCATGGGTAATAAAGACCATTATAAACTTATGAACAAAAATAGATACAGAGGCAGAGCTGCCTCAAACGGACTGTCAAACTGCAGTGGGAAAGCCGGGGAGGGTAGGGGGGCTAAAAGGGGGGTAAGAGATCAACCGAAGGACTTATATGCATGCATGTAAGCATAACCAATGGACATAAGACACTGGGGGGTAAGGGAGGCCAGGTGATTGTCAAGAGTGGGGGAATAAAGGAGACATATGTAATACTCTTTGTAATACTTTAAGCAGTGAAACTAAAAAATACAAAAAATAAGATGAAAAATTAAAAAATAAGGTTTGTATTACAAAACCTTTCTTAATCAGCTATTCTACTCTTTCATAGCATTGATGTCAGGAGACTGTTTCCATATTTTCAACATAAATCTCTGACTTGGTTTCATTTTTATTTCAAACTATCTCATGCCCTCCTTTTCTCTTAGGATTTCACTGTGCTTCCTGTGAAGTACATGCTGAAATACATGTACATGCTGAAATACATGTTACTGAAACATTATTGTTACCAATGTGTTACTATTGGTAGGAGTACCCTTGAAAGTGTTGGAATCATTTTGCTGCAGGAATTCTTTGCTGGTTTTCAGCCATTCCTTGGTGGCAGTGGTGTAAAACTGTAAATGAACATTTTTTCTATACATATATATGAATAGCTTGATTTTTCTCCTCCCTTATCAACAGGCAAGTGAAAGACCAGAATAAGAAGGTAGCAAATCTGAAGCACAAGGAACAGGTGGAAAAGAAGAAGAGTGCGCAGATGCTAGAGGAGGCTCGGCGAAGGGAGGACAGTCTCAACGACAGCTCCGCACAACTCCAGGTGAGAACACAGGAGAATCTGCAAGGCTCTGGTGAAGAGACTTGATTCAGAATTGCATGTTGTTTTTCTCTTCATCTCTATCCCCTCTTTTTCCTCTTTCTAACCCTGCTTACTGCCTTCCTCTCAGACCAACTGCTTAGCAATAAAGGAATGGCTTTAAATAGAAAAGGCAAGTTTTATTCCACAGCTTTGTGCCGACACCTCAGCATAAGAGAAAGTTCATCTTGCTTCCAGTTAATCGCACTTAATTGGTAAGTTTTATTTCAATTTAATGAATGGGTACTGTTGAGCTTTAGGGTGGTCATTTTAACTATTTTGCATTTTTCTTTATTAAAGTGCTGTGCTGGTCTTGGTTTGTGTCTATATTTTTAACTTACTTCTTTTTCCATTCTTCCTTTCTCCCCACTTTCCACTCCTATTTTTCCCTCCCTCTTTATTTCCTTCCTTTTTAAAAATTCAGAGAGCATATTTCACAGTCATGCAAGATGTATAAACTATACTTTTTTACCCCAATGGAGTGATAATTATGTGTGAACCTAATTATTTACAGATTAAGTTAAACCAGGTTCAAAAGGAATAGTAGCAGTGACCGTATGATAAGTGTCAGTTATGTGCCCAGTCCTTGAAACTAGACCCTGAGCATTCACTCTGTCTAACTTTCACAGAGATCCAGTATGCCTGCGATTTTGTGCACATTTTACAGATGAGGAAATGGACTCAGAGAAATCAGTTTACTTAACTCATGTACGCACACAGCTGAATGGCTCTGTCATGATTCTGAGACTTCCTGGATCTCTAGCCTGTCTAAATGAAGATTTACATTTTAGAGAAGAATACCATAAACTTGTTAGAAACTTCTGCTGAGACTGTTAAGCCACAGCCAGATTTTTTTCTGTCATTGTAACTCCTAATTGGGTATGATAGAGTGTTTAGATCACAATTGCATAATTGTGAAATCTTTACTGGAGAAATTTGGAAGAGTTATTATCTAGTATATAGAAGCCATTTTTAGGCTTCTAACATTTTCATTTCAGACATTAAATCTGACTTAATACCTATTTTCATTTCATCTATATTTATAAAAGCCTAAGTAACCAGTCAACTGGTTGGCCAGTCGCTATGAGGTGCAATGACCACCAGGGGGCAGATGCTCAATGCAGGAACTGCCCCCTGGTGGTCAGTGCGCTCCCATAGTGGGTGCGCCGCTCAGCTGACCAGGATGAGCTGATTGGGATGAGCAGGGCTCGGGATTGGCTCCTCCCCAGCCACCTGCCGCTTTGCTCACTACTACATCCCTCAGGGGATGTTGGATGCCTGTTTCAGCTTGATCCCCGCAGGCCATGCCAAGGAACCCCATCGACTGGGCCCTTTTGTTTTATATAACTTTTACTGATTATAAAACTTACATACCTTATAGAAACAGTATAAATTTCCTCAAATGCACCGACTTTTGAAAAAAAGCAGCATGCCAATTTTCCTTGTCTTTGCTAACAATAATTGAAACTGTCAATTTTCTCTTCTTTCTCGTGTGTGTGTGTATGTATGTATTGTCAGATCTGATGAGTGGGAAATATATAATGTTCGTTTTAATTAATATTTGTTTGTTAAAGTAATTCAAGTAATATCTATCTTCGATGTGGGCTATTTTCCCATGAATTTTTTGCTCAGTTTCCCCCATTTTGAGAACATATAAATAAGTATTTACGTATAAATCTTTTAAGTTTTAGGCTTCTTTTTTACTTTTTCTTTTGAATTTAAAATATTTTAGGGTACTTTATGTGGCGATGGTCTTAGCTTTTCTTCATTGCTAACAATTTCAGTATAGGAAATTATTTCATTACAAGTTTGAATTGCCTTCTTTATGTTTTATGAAATTGTTTAATATTCTGTTTCTGGTGTTTCAATTTAATCTTTTTTGAACTCGGATCACATTGGTTTTTGTTGTTGTTTTTTTAATACTCACTCAAGGATATTTCTCCACCGATTTTAGGGAGAGTAGGAGAGAGAGGGAAACAGAGAGAAATATCGGTGTGAGAGAAACACATCGATTAGTTGCCTCCTGTACGAGCCCTGACCATGGCCCAGGGTTGGAAGGAGCCTGCAACAAGGTACGTGCCCTTGACAGAATCGAACCTGGGACCTTCGGGCTGCAGGCTGACACTCTATTCACTGAGTCACACTGTTCTTTTTTTAATTATAGAAAATACTTTATGATAAGACTAGTGGCCTAGTGCACAAAATTCATGCAGGGGGAGGGGGTGAGTCCCTCAGTCTGTCCTGAATCCTCACCAGTCCGGGACCCCTGGGGGATGTCCAACTGCTGGTATAGGCCCAATCCCCT